CAGCGCGATACAGCAATATACTTCTCCATGGGGTTGAGATCATGAAGCCAGGTGGCCTGGATGCCGGCTCATCCGGCTGCTCTCCAGGCGCACCCTGTGGATGGGTGAGCTCAGGATCCTGCTTGTCCTTTCCTCCACCAGACTGGGTGCTGATGCTGGGCTGGAGCCGGGTTTCCATGACACAAGAAGCCGTCACAGTGACAAGGCACAGTGGGCTGTCAGGTCAAGCCGACCCAGTCCATTTCCCTGTTTGTGACCATTTCCCTGTGTGTGAGCAACAACCCACCCTGACAACTGATGGCTATGCTTTATGCATGGCCGTCCCCGTGCTGCATTGTTGGGTCATCCAAAGCTGATCAATTGACTCTATTGTGGGTACCCAGGCCAGTGAGTGATCTTTTTGGCAAGAGCAACAAACAGCCTTTGTTGTCCTTACCAAGCTCACCCAGTCCAGTGCCAGTGTCCAGCACCAATGTCCAGTATGAGTGTCCAAGTGGGATGGCAGGGGGTTCAGTCCTGGCTCTGGACCCACTGCCATGGTCACAAGCCTTTTTGCATCCACCATGGCTGTTTTAGCCCTTTGGCCCAATTGGAGAGCTGGCGGCAGCCCCCTCAAACGCCCAACAGGCACATCAGAGGGCCTTAAAGTGCCCCAAAGGAGCCATTGTTTTTTAAATTGGCTTTGAACAAGTGTGCACTTGCACTTTTCTGTGAGTCTGAAATAGCTTTTCAATTTCCCTGAAGGGCAAAGTTGTCAAGAATGTCAAATGACCTTGGCTAGGACAAAGAGAGGAAATATCAGAAAGAAATGTCATGCAAAATATGTTTGCCCCTTTGGCAGAGCTATAATAGTTAGCAAGATGCCTGTTAAAAAAACCCCAGACAGGCAGCACTATAATTAATTTCATTAGAGAGCCAGACCTGTTGTTCACTCAATTAGACATCTGTTTCTGCCCTGCCGTTTTAATGACAGCCAACTTGCCTGGAGCAATCAATTCTTGCTTTGCATCACGACCACCTGATCTGCCCCTTACAGGCTGTGTGATGATTTTACCTCCTCAGAGGAAGCGTGCTCTGATCCCCTCTCCCCTGTAAGTGCTTGAGATTATTATTATTACTATTATTAATATTACTACTACTACTACTGGGCAAAGTTCAGGGCGTAGAAGCCTTTGGAATGTCTGTTGGTCACACAGGTCCATTTTAGTCCCTGCCCTGCTCAGAGTGATAACTGTCCTTAAGCCCTGTGAGAATTTCTGCCCCAACATGTACAGTTGTTCTGTGCCCCCTTCACTTGCTTAAAAATGGTCCAAAGCAGACTCACAGCAACCATAACGTTTTGGACTACCTCTCCCAACATCCACTGCCACTATTGCAAAAATCTGGAAAATGCTGGGCATTGTAGTCCAAATCATCTGGTGGACACCAGGCTGGGGAAGGCTGGCCTAAAGGTCTGTGATACAACTGTACTGCTGAAGCTAAGCAGGCCTGCTCTAACTTCTGTGGAGGCCCTTGGGAATGAGATGTAACCCCCTTTAAGAGGTTTAGGGGGCCCTCAAGTTGGGATGAGCACCAGCCTCTGATGAAGATGCAGCCTCCACCCCATCCTTCCACTCTACATTTCTGCTAGGCAACTTTCAGCCCTCTGGCTTGGGTGCTTCGGAGGTAGACAGAAGGAGGCTGCAGAAGATGCAGGGAATGTCATGCCCTGTCCTCTGCAGTCTCCTCCTCCCCCCTTTCTATGGTCAAGGTCTTTCTGTGCTGGACGCAGGGGAGGGGTGGCTGGAGCATGGCCCGCCAGCTCCAAAGCTGCAGTATTGTCTTAACCTCTGGCCTGGACCTCCAAAGCATCCCATGCCTCCCTTGACAATGGTGGGTGGGGCCACAGCAGTATCACTCCCTCTGAAGTGCATTGCATCATTTTGCTCACTGCCTGGTCTTTCCTCCCTTCCTTAGGCTGCTGTTCTGCTAGCTGTCTTATATGATACCTCTACTGTCTTCTGGACTTTCCCCTGAATTAGAATCCCTGGTCTCAACTTTCATGAAGACAGTACCTCTGTGTATATGTTTCCTATGCACACAACAGCCTCTTCTCAATCCCATATCCAAACTGACCTCTCATTTCCACCACCGTAAGCTGTGCCGCTTATCAATATTCCACTGCTGACTCCAGATCTTGAGCTGCAAAATGTTTGTGCAACCAGTGGCCAGCAGCCTCACTGGCAGTTTTAAGCTTGCTGTGTGATCTCACTGAGCCTGCTTCCAAAGTCTAAATTGGAGTCCCATCAATATATTCAGTCAATAAAACACAGCAATCTCTTGAGATGAAAAGCCCTGGTAATCATATTTTCTGGGATAATGTTAGTCCAATGCAAACAAATAACACGAGGGAACAAAAGCTATTATGACTGTCATGGAACGGCCAGCCTTTGTTGAAAAGATAAAGCATAAAATGAGTAATTGTTGAAAGTGAAAAATGTATTTTTCTATGATGTTGCCTAAAACTGAAACATCTCTGTGGGTTAATCTACATAAATACCGGATCATAGAGAAAATCTGATATCAGACCATACCCATTCAGAAATGCTGCAATGCATATCTGCTTCCTCATAGTCCAAGCAGCAAGGAAATCCGATGCATGGAATACCTGTGAGTCAGACGGAAAATTAGCCTAGAATATGTGGAAGCATTTATTTGTGTGATTCTCCCTTAACAGTATGCTCAAGTGTCACTGTCCAGGATCAGTTTTACTGAGGGAGGGGCTCAGGGAGGGCCAGATAGTTCAGTGCTGGAATGTGTGGTTTGCACATAGGCAGCCCTGGGCTTGGTGCCCACCGTGGCAGCAGGCAGGCCTGGGGAAAAGGCCCTTCTTCACGTGAAGTCCTTGGGGGGCAGTGCCAATTGGAACTTGCTTTGCTAGGCAGGGCTGGCATGAAGGGAAGGACTTGCTGGATGGCCACCTGGGCAAGAGTGCGTGGACAAGAGATGGCTGGGCCTGCTCTCCTTCTTTGCTGTCTCAGCCCGCTTCTCACTCTGGCCAAGATAAACATGCACAACGTTCTCCATATTCTGGACCCAAAAACAAAAACCTACCCTTCAGATTTTTAAAAAATAGAATATGAGCGACACTGAAAAGGACAGGTTTGTTCATCCAGACCCAGGGTGCTGTGTACTTAAAAGTCTGCTTTTGAATCTCTGCATAGTTCCCTATGTAACTCCTGGATAAGAGATACCACCATTCTCTTTAAATGGATGCTTTTCTTCTTTAAGCCTTAAATGGCAAGCAGCCACCAAGCTCCTCCCATGCAGTGAATTGCTGTCTTGGCTGGTTTGGATGGGAGATAATTGAATTTAAGTTTATTCTTTTTAAGTATTTACCAGCATTCACAACCTGTGCTTCATCTTTGGATGAGAGGGAACTTGAGATTGTTCTAAAAGATGAAAGTGGGAGAAACCTAGACTTGCCCATGCCTATCTAAGAGTCAGCCCGGTTTGGCTGTGTCAACTCCCTCTGAGTTAATAAGTGAGATGCTTTGGATCTGATGCAGAAATTAGTTCTCTTAATCACTGGAAAGAAAGCTATTTCTGAGATATCATGGACAATTGCTCACCCTTCTTGCTTGGCACCCTGGCAATGCAAAGTTTGACCATTCATCAAGATGTCTTCATTTAACTCCAATAAATGGCAATCTTATTTCAGCCAGCCAGGCAGCCAGAGAAGAACCTGATCAGAAGATTTACTGAGTCATTACCTTGGGCATAGGTTTAAATGAAATTTACTGGCTTGGTAAATGGTTTCAGGGCTCCAGTCCTGGCGTTTGTGGAGTAAATCATTTGTGCCACTTTCTTGGAAGAGGCTCTTTGATCAAACTTCAGTTGCGTGGTTAAAGAAGTTTATTTCTTTCTGCTAATATGGTGTTTTTCAGTCATAGTTAGTTTCTTTAAGTGCAGCCATGCTTTTCAGCTGAGATTCTCCCGGTGCAATACTATGTTCACTTAGACAGAAAAAAAATCCGCAACTTGTGTTATATTGCAGTATGATGGAGTGGGATGTACTTGGAAGCATAAGACTTTCTTCTGAATATATCTGCATACTTAGGCTATGTTTGCGGAAAGGCACGTTAAAAATTACCCCATTTCCAGTGTTGAGGACTCAAGTCAAGCGACTTGCTCTCACATTCAGCTCAAGTCGTGCCAGTGACTCAATGCAGACTTGACAGCAACGAGCGAGTGACTTGACTCAGGATTTCTGGTGTTTTTGCGACTAAGTTGCTCCAGGGTTTGCTGCCTGCATCTGATGTGTGGCTGGACAGCCTGGGGGGATCTTGGTGGAAGGCACCTGTGACTGGCTGGAAGGCAGGCTCCAACCCAGTGGAGGTGGCTGGAGGGAGGGAGGGAGGTTCCAGGAGGCAGGGAGGAGGGGACTGTGACAGGGGGAAGGAAAGGCTTCAGCTCTTGTTGTGGCACAAGGGAGGCAGTGGGAGCAGGATCACGGGCAGGGGAAGGGGGAGGCTTGGGAAGACACCTGAGACTGAACTCCAGCTTCCTTGCAATGACTCGTGACTTGAACTTGAAGGTAAAGACTCGAGACTTGACTAATAAAGAACTTGATCGCATCACTGCCCATTTCCTTAACATCCGTATTATACCACAGCCTGCAGGAATTAAGTTGCCTTGGGGATGACCCATAAGTACAACCGTATCAAACTAAGAGCTGTGTAGGATCAGGCCAAAGCTCACCTAGTTCAGCATTCTGTTCTGTCTACTGTTGATTGGCTGCCAATTATAACTTCTCATATGATTTTCATGTACCAGTGTGGACTTGTCCAGTCTTCTGATCAATCCCAATCTTCTGAGGACATAATTTCCCTTCCTCCATGAGGTCACTATAAGGAGCAATGGGAAAGATTGACAACACATCTGTGGATCTCAATTCCCCTTCTGAAGTGAAGGAAGCTGCCCTTGAGGAGTTTGAGCCAGCAGCATCAGAGAATGAAGAGGTTGAGAAGGAGAAGGAGGAGAAGAAGAAGGAGATCCCTGACAGAGGCTCTTGGAAAGGCAAATTTGACTTCCTGCTCTCCTGCGTGGGATATGCCATTGGTTTGGGCAATGTCTGGCGCTTTCCTTATCTCTGTGGCAAGAATGGAGGAGGTGAGATTAACTGGCTGAAGGTTTGGATTTAGATAATATCACCAGAACACATGAAGAGGTGTAGGCTGTGGTTGGAAACCTGTTTGTACATTGCCAACTTACTTGGCATGTCTCGAACATTGAATACCTATGAAGTTTTCCAGGGCAATTTACTGCAACAAGTAGCCCTGTCAACTAAGAGGGAAGCCCTGCTGGGCTCAGGGGCAAACAAGGAACGGGTATGCACTGAATTGCAGTTGTTGCTGCCTTCCTGTATAAGAGCTATACTCAAAGCAAAAATGCAAAAGAAGCAAATGAAGAAGTAAGTTAAAAGCCCCAAGAGTTGGAAGCCTTAAAACTTTTAAAACATGAAATACCAAAATCACTAAAAGCAGGATTGGAAAAAATATAGAAATCCAATTGTCATTATTGAAAGGTTTCCAATGGCTTCTCAAGGAATCTAACATGCAGCTTACAGCAACATGGAGACAGTAAAATTGATTGATGTACCTTATAGGGTTGTTGCAAGACTTACTTTCACAATGTTTTTGTAGTGCTTTGAATTCACCAAAGCAGCAGGGAGCAATTTATGGTCCTTCAGATGGTCTGGCAAGGCCAGAAGATGAAAACTGGGCATTCAGTATGTGCATGTTATAATCTCTCCAGTGAGATCATACTACCAAAACCAGCATCTAGTTTGATTGGCTCTCCACTAGAAGTTGTAAAGTTAAAAGAGCTTTTTCCAACCTGGTGTGCTCCAGATGTGTTGGAGTACAACTTTCTATCACAATGAGATTTGCAGTCCTAGGCCTCTAGGGGGCACCAGCTTGGGGAGGACTGGCTTAGTAGATTATGAGCATCAATGGTTTAATTAATTAATCAATTTAAAACATTTATACCCCTTCTATAACAAAGGACTCAAGACAGTGCTTCAGAAAGGGACACAGTCAGTGCCTACTTATTCCTAGTATTCTATTACAAAGCATGCTTTAATTTACATGGATGTGTATGTTATATACATGTAAACCAAGCACATATATGAAGGATCTTTCTGTGCTGAACTTTGAGTACTTACACATCCCAAAGGCTAAGAGAGTCAAAGAGAGCAACAAGGTCCTTGAAAGCAACCTTTTGTTCTATTAAAGAAGAATTTAAAATAGCACATCAGGGGAATTCGAATTATACATCCTTCTGGGGAGCTGGAACCACACCTTAACAGTGAGAAGGCTGAAGGTCACAAGCATGACCGTCAACACTGAAACCAGGTGCAGAGCTCCATCACCAAGGGGTTTTAGAGTCTAGAATGCATTCCGATATTAAGGAAAAGGGAAGGAAGAGGATAATTGGAAAAGAGGCTACTTAGAAGGAAAATAGAAGGTCACCTCTCTGTATTTGCTGACTTGCTAAGCAATCAGGAGATCTGTCAAGTTCTTCTCTGAAACAGAAGGGGAGACAGAGAGGAGAAAAGTGGAGGCTTGTACTTCCAAACAGAAAGTGTGAAGAACCCCTCTTGGATGGAAAAGGGCTTCCCTCTCAGTGGATTTGGGTTGTCCATTTTAGCCTTCTTTTCAGGGTTTAGCAATTAAAATGAAACAAGATCCCCCCACCCCAAGATTTCTCATGGATGTTGAAAAATGGCTTCTAGGTGACAAACATCACGGGAAGAAAGAAGATAATGAGCACTTTCTTCCTTCCCTTGGAGGTCCTTGTTGCTGCCTTTGACACTCCATCTTTGAGGGAATCAGCTTTTCCTAAGCTCCCAAAGTTCAATATCGAAAGACCCCTCATGTATATGTTTGGTTTACATATATGTAAAACATACATCCATGCTGATTTAAGCATTCTTTGTGACAATTCCTAATATTGCACCTAAAATGATGACACATTCATTAGTGGTCTGGACTTCTTTTATAGCAACTCTAAATAAGCCTGGCATGCAGACTTAAAGGGAGCCAGAAAAGGTTTTCAGGCTGCAGTCTGACCACCCTAATGGAAAAAGTCAAGCAAGACTCTGGTGCTACCCTTGCAGGGGGAGAGCCCACCTCCTCAGATCTAGGCTCTGTTGCTTTTCATTTGTCTTTCTCTGGGTTGCTGACTGCTTTTAATTATATTGCTACCCCTCTGTTCCCACATCAGTTCCAATTAGAATCCCCAGCTCACTGCTGCCCCAAAAGGAACAGTTCAGCAATCACTAGCTGTCCTGTTAAGGCGTGAAGCTGCTGATTGAAGCCATTTCAAAGTCTCCTTCTTTCTTACTGGAAAATATTTCTAAGGGGGTTACAGACATGGAAAAGAAAGCTCTAAAATATATGACTAGTCTTCCCAAGGAAAGGCCTAGCCAATCAATATTCTGTTAAATGCCTATTTTATTTAGCTTAGAGTTGTCAGCTCTGGTGTATGAGTTGTGTTTGGCAATTCAAGGGGCAATTAGCAGAGTATTCATGAGTAACCCCACTACCACACTTAACAGGACGCAATAAATGGGACAAATGCAGAAAACTTTTAATTAACATTGCATGTTACCTCTATTGAATGACTTTGTCTTCTGAGTAATAATTATAGAAGGATCTGTGGTATGAGGCTGGGCATTGCCAGATGGAATAGTGCTATATAAACTGCTGTACTGAACAGCAATTTTAATTCCAGTTCCAGCTGATTGCAAAGAGAACACTCAGTGTATATGTAGTAATAATTTTAATGTGGAAATGACTAAGAACAATTTTAAAGAACTTGTAAATCACACAATAAAAGTTAAATAATGAATATATGTTACCTTTTGCATCCGTGATCTGCATAACTAATAACTGATTAACAATGGACTTTAAACACTGGGAAAATCTGTCTTTATGCATTTCACGTAGGTCTTGATTAAGGATTATTGTGTGCATTTCTCATCATATATTTATTTATTTATTAAAACATTTTTATGCCGCCCCATTCGCCGAAGCTTCGGGGCAGCTTACAACACTAAGTTAAAATAATTATAATATAAATCAAAAATATAAACATTAAATTAAAAATACAAAAATACAGTATAAAATAAGCCACCCTGGCCAGATAAAATCCAATAATATTAACAGTTAAAATATGTTAATGTTTGTGTCCACACGTCCCTACTTTTTGCAGACAATTTCTCCTAAAGGTGTGTTTCTGTGCACTTCTCCCTAATATACTGTATGCATTTTGCATATTTTTAATTCATAAGCAAAATTCTAAAAAGTATGCTGTAGAACATAATTCCAGATTGTGTGTAATTTGTGCAAAGTACACTTTTTTCTCGCATCCTTAGCCTTGACAGATACAAACCAGAAGAAGCAAATGGAGTGAAATGTTTCCTTCCCTCTACCCAGGTGCCTTCCTGATTCCATATTTCCTGACACTGATATTTGCTGGGATTCCACTTTTCCTGCTGGAGACAGCGCTTGGACAGTACACCTCTGTTGGTGGCCTCGGGGTCTGGAAACTAGCACCCATGTTTAAAGGTCCTGTGAGTTCATACAGTACATGCAAAATCATGTCAAATCTCGGGGCTGGGGGCTACACCTAGCTGACCTGGGTTCACAATATGAACCTCCAGGGTTTCACAAATGGCCATCTCACTTCCCCATGTTGCCAGGAAGTTTGGTAACTTCCTTGCTTGTGTCTGTTTTCCCACTGTTCTAAAATGTTGAGCAGCCTCTTCTATGGCTTATTTATTGGCAGGAAGGACTTTAAGCTAAAATATGCTATTTTGTCTCCACCCTATTTGCTTTTGACTCCATCCTCTTTGCCTCTGGCTTCACCTACCATGGAAATGCTGTCCCCAAGAGCTTTTCTGAAATGGTGCTTGGCCATGGGCTGAAAGAGGTCACCAAGCCCAACCCTAGCCTAACCCTTTGTAGAGAGTGAGCCCGTCTCTCACTCATAACAGGCTGTTCAGATAGATTCATCTGATTCTGAAGAGGAAGTGGAGGAACAAGAGGGATGTGAGGACTTTGATGTTTCAAGGTCATCTAGAGAAGTTTCTCAGGCAGAATGTGAGGATCGGCTTTCTTTGGAAGGGGGAGAAGAGTTTTCAGGATGGGAGGGCAGCAGATGCCAGACCTAGTCCTTGACCCAGTCAGGATGCAATGGGAGAAACGAGCTGCCCAGTTAGATATCTCCGGCATTTCCACTGCCTTTCCCTCAAGCAACGAGAGCCACACTGAGGGTAGAGCCAGGAGCTTTACTGAAGGGAGGAACAAAGGGGAAATTTCCAGTTTGAATTCAAGACTTTACATGGGCAGATGGGTCTCGCTCAGTTTTGGAAGAGGCTATCTAGAGTTTATACTGTTTTGTAATCTGTTCAGATCAGATCAAAGAATTGCACTTCAAAGGATTGTTTGTGTTAGATAACCAGAAAGAAAGAGGGAAAGGAATCTTGCAACACCCCAACGCCAACCCTTTCATGGATGGAGTGCCATAGAAGTCAGCACAGGCATGGGCGGGCTCCCAACAGCCCCGTGAACGTCAGACCTTAGAAGGAAGGCTCTGATGGCCACAGCTCCTCACTGGATTTTGAAAAAGGTTGTGCAGAAAGAGCAGGACTTGGTCTTAATATAGAAATGTATCCTGTGCCAGCCCTTTTCTTTACCTTGACCATTGCTTTGGAGACAAGATTTTCACCTTTGTGGAAGGCCAGGTGTTTCAGAGTGTACTTGGCCATTTTGTCCCTGCTGGAAATTGGGCCGGGAGCAGTCTAGAAACAACCCAAAATTCCACAGTTGGGATGGACCAACAGACGGACATCTACAAACCAGATCCAGAATTTTATTACTTTTAAAATTAATTCTTGTGAGGTGAGGAACCTAGCTCACAAGCTCACCTAAATGTTTTGGCAGTAGTTCTCGGTATTAACTTGCCAGATTCGGTATTTAATCCCCTTTTCTCCTATGTTCTGAAAGAGCTTGGTTATAATTGGTAATTCTGTACAAAAAATCGGATTAAAACAGAAATGCAAATGCCTGCAAGTGTTTGCGCTTGTTGGAGATTTGCCTGTCCGCCCAGTGCGCTCTGCCCTCCACCCCTCCTGGCCACCACGGAAGTTCATTGGAGCACATAATTTCAGTGCCCAAGGGGGAATTTAGTTACATGAGATTCTTCTGAAAATGCCATAAATGATCTCATAAAGAGACTAGAGAATCCCCGCTCTTCAAACTCCTCTGGTTGTGACTTGCAACTCCTCTCCTTTTGACTTGCCATCTTGACAGTAAACTCCAAGCTGATACTATTCGCCAGTGCAAAGCTGGTCTTCAGGTCACTCCCACCATTACTTTCTTCACCAGCACAGACTTTCAGCTGAACTTTGTCAGCTTTGGCATGATGCAATTTACTAATGTAATTTAGTAGTAGGGAGGATCTCTGTCATCTCCAAAATGCCAAGTGATTTTATGATGAATAAAATCCAGAAAGTTCAGTAGAAAGCTACTGGTGAAGTTTAACACATTTGACTTCCAAAGGGAAAACTTTTCTAGTAGTCCCTAAACAGGTCTACTCAGAAGGAAACCCCCCTGATTTTGCTACCATGAAATGAAATGCTGGCTACCAGCTTGAAAGGTTTTGAAAGTGGTCTAGAGAGATTCATGAAGAATTCTTCTTCATTTCATTTCAGTACTGCCCGTAGCCAAAGCTGATTAGGCTTTGAACAATGACTGCAGGATCAGAGGCAATGTGCCTGTGCACCAGAAAGCAACAGCAGGACCCCTGTTTTTGCTCAGGGGTCCTGTTTTTGCTCAGGGGTCATGGGCAGCTGGTGGGCTCCTCTGTGCCATGAACACCAGACTAGATTAGCGTTAGGCCTGGTCCAGCACAGCTCTTCTTATGACACCTTTCAAGGCGTGATGTCTCTTGTCTCTTAGGAGTGGGCCTGGCCGCAGTGGTGCTCTCCTTCTGGCTGAACATCTACTACATTGTCATCATTGCCTGGGCACTCTATTACCTCTTCAACTCTTTCACCGCAGTGAGTTTCTACTGTCCTTTCTTAGGGGTGGGACTGGGTGGGGTGGGACAGTATGGCTGCCTGGAGGCCATCAGTTGCCATGAGCTGTACCCATTGATGAAACTGTTGGCTCAGTCTTTGCACTGATAATGCACCAAATATGTAGCCTAGGCTTTGTCGCCTTCCTTGCTCTCTGCCATTTTTTTTTAATGGAGGCAATGTTCTCATTAACCTACTTGCCTTCCAGTGAATTCTTTCCTGAACTGGCTGGGGAGAAAAGAGTCCAAGTTTTGGACTCCAGCTGGCCTCTCTGTCTGAAAGACTACATTTGTTTACATCCAGGCCATTCTTATGAGCTTCAAGGCTGCTGTTTATAACTCTCTAAGCCATCAATAGATCCAAAATGCACTTGTGCGTATCATTCCTGTGGGATTCCACAGCTGGCTGTCTAGCTCCCGTCCACGTTGGCTTTTAATCTCCTTTGACTGCATCTTCAAACATCAGCGAAGCCTGCTGCCAAAATGTATGCCTTGTTTAGCTCTTTCTAAACCATATGTCAATAGTCCCTCGAGTTACGCCAGACACCTGCAGCTTCTGTTACTGTCATTAAAAACAACAACCGCCAAGCCATTTGGCTGGATTTCACTCTGGTGGCTTGGGAAGATTCCCGCATGGAAATTTAGATCAGGACTTTGCCCTCTGTTAACCTCAATTTTTGCAATGAATACAAGAGAGGCTCTCACAGAAGAACTTCCCACATCACGCTGAGTCTGTCTCTCCGTCTGCCTGTCTTCTCTTGAGCACCTTTGTGGATGTAGCTGGGAGCATTCTCGTTTGAGAGAAGAGAGCAGGCTGTCTTTGAAGAACCTGCCGCATTTTGCCAGAAAGAAGACTCTGCAATGCAAGCCTGGCCCCAGGAACTGCCTAGGGAAATAGGCAGGACAGAGATGACCGTCGCTTCTGTGGCACCAGGGACCATCACAGAAAGTGGTGCCATTCTTTCCAACCTATTTGTATGCCTGTTACCTGAGGCTAAAACCATGTGTGACTCTTATGAATTTATTTCTTACATTTGTATCTACTTTTTTCCTCCAAATAACCCAAGGTAGCTTACATAATCCTCTCCATTTTATTCTCACAACACCCTTGTGGGATAGGTTAGTTTGAGAGTCAATGACTGGCTCAAAGTCACCCAGCAAGCTTCATGGCTGAGTGGGGCCGGAATCCGGACCACCTGAATTCCAGCCCCGCATGCTCAGCACGACAGATGCTGATGTCCAGTTACATGGATGCTCCCAAAACACACTTCCTACCAAAAGAAGCACAGGACGTTGCAGGATTGGGCAGAGGACTGGTCTAGGGAGTGTGCTCTGTGGACGTGCGTTCTGTGTAACTCTTACCATTTCCTGCTCAAAATTGCCACTTCCCCCAAATGGTTTCTCCCTTATGCAAGAGGCTACGTCTTTATGAAAGAAAACCACTCCATGGGGTAAAAAGCACCTGCAGAGATGTTAAGCCAAGAGAGAAGAAACAGCTGTCCTGCTGCCATGACCACACCTTGCCAAAGCGTGCGGCTTTGCTGAGATTTTGTAACATTTTTGAGATATTCTTTGACTTCCACCGAAAGACAGACAGACACCTCCTCATGTGCGAAATGCAAACTGTTCTCTTTTAGGATGAAACCTAACAGAGGCCCAGAGCTTCAAGCTGTACTCAATCCTTCTTCACAAGAAGAGGGTTTCTCTTCCTTTGCAGGCTTGTGCTGCAGATAAATGAGTATTATTTCCCATCTGAGGCTCAGTCTTAGCCTAGACCCACTTCCCTGGGAGTAAGCCAGGTTAAACTCAAGGGGCCTTATGTCTGAGAAGGTTTGTGCAGGATTTTGCAGTGTAAAGTTTTTGGCTTTTTATGGCTTAACAGTTTTTTTGGAATGGCAGGAGTGTGAGAAGAGAGTTGCCAGTGAGATGCCTGTAGCAGGCCTCCTGTGCGGATTCTGTGTGAAAGCCTGACGTTCAACAAGTGAGGGTGATCTTTCTTTTCCATTCCTTCTTGTCCCCATCTTCACCACAGGACCTGCCCTGGGAGAACTGTGGAAATACCTGGAACACGGACAGGTGCTTTTCCAACTACTCCCGGAATGACACATCCAACCTGACCAGCGCTGTGACCGAGTTCTGGGAGTACGTCTCCAGGCCAAGTCAGGTTTTGCCACCTTTGGGGCCAGCTCATCAGCACAGGGGTTTGGGTGGGATGGGTGGGAAGTGGATCCTCTCACGGCCTTCCGTAGGGAAAGGCTTTGATGCAGCATCCATGTACTCATGGTGACACAGGAGATGAGAGAGCCATACATGTGGTCATAATTTGGTGGGTGTATTTTCATCTTCCTCCCTTCTCCTCCTCCTCCTCTTCCTTGTCCTGCCCCCCCATGTGGCTTTTTGGTGTCAACAGCACCTGGCTTAGTGGGACTTTTGTTGAGGCCTGTGCACCCCAATAGGGGCCATGGGGGCTGATGTCTGATCTGCTGCTGTCCTTGGACCCTTGGAGGGACCCACCCTCCTGTCCTCCCCTTTGCACTCCCTTTCTCTCTGGCGGTTTTACCTGGCCGTGGCAGTCAGGTGGTGCTGCAATGAACCAGGAGCTGAGCAGCTGTTTTGCTCACGGTCTCTTACAGCTGTGGGGAGGCTTGGTGCGGAGGGATCATCGTCCTGCTTGCGCCTACTGCTCAAAGGGCTGTCAGAAGACAGTGCCAGCGCTGAAGTTTCCCTCTGTTTCAAGGGATTCCCAGTCTGGCCCCAGTCAAAGATAAAGGACCCCGAGGAGCGATAGCAGGGGACCGGAAGCCACTCCGTAACACCTGGGCACCATAACACCTGGACGGCAGCAGACTGGGTGGCAGGCAGGCATGTCCCCAGATCATGTGGGGAGGGAGTGTCTTTTCTTTCAGTCTGGGGGCAGATTCGTGGAGAAAAGTGCACTGGCAGAAGCGGACTTCCTTGGGGCCGCTCAAGCTGCTGCACAGAGACAGGAGCCATATTGAGTGGGATGAGCTGCGATGTCTGGATGGGAGTGGGTATCCCCAAATCAGGCAGAGGGATCTGCAGCAAGAGAAGCCTTGCTGCTCAAAATAAGTCACTAGTCCTCGTGAGGGACAGATCCTGGATCCAACCCATAGTACTTTTATTCCTCTTTGTGTGTGTATGTATCTCTGCAAAGCTTATGCAAATCTATACCTCTTTCATCTTTCTGAGTGAGGCATTTGCTTTCTTTTGGTGATGGATAAGTGGCCCCCCTTCCTGACTCCAGGTGTATTTCTCTCTCCCCTTCTTCTACCAGAGATTCTAATTATCCAGCTGCCATAGATCCCCATTGTTCTGATTTCTCTCCCTTTGCAGGAGAAATATGCATCAAATCTCTGGAGGCCTGGGGGAGCCAGGTAATGTCCGCTGGCCTTTGGCCGGCACGCTTGCATTAGCCTGGGTTTTGGTCTATTTCTCCATCTGGAAAGGCGTCGAGTGGACTGGAAAGGTACTTCGTGTGAACCATGTGCTCCAATGCTACTTTTGATTGCTGCACTCATTCCTTTACTTTAAAACATCCTCCGATTCCATTCCACCCCCCACCACCCCCCCAAATGCCTATAATTAGAGTTGCTCTATTCCAAGACAAAATTTCTGTGGGTGGTATACAGTTTTTATCCATCCCCCCGCCAAGTTTTCATAATAGCAAAAGTCATGAATGCTTTTTGCTGAACAATCCCACACACCACCACCACGCGAAGCAGAGCAAACTGTTTTAAAACGCAATTTGCCCTTTTCAAAGCTATAAAATGCTTCTTGATGCAACTTTAGAAACTGGTAAGGGCTTTGGGGTTTTCGGCTCCAGGCACCGTAGAACCAAGACATTTGTTGCTTGTTGTAAGCCAAATAGCACCTTGCTGTGTTACTTTTAAAAAATCTCACTTGTAGTTTCACATCTTGAAAGCCAACAAATGTTAAGCCAGATTTTGGTGGTGACATATAAGCTCAAATTTCAGCATTCACATTTCTCAAACAAAATTTGCCCCAGCAGTTTGAGATCTGCCTGTTCTGGCTAAACGCATCTCTATTAATCTGCTTCCTTATACTATCAAATACAAACTACTGCTCCAACCAAATGTTGACCACAAAAGCAGAACAAAGCCAGGGAATATTCATTATACCTTATGGCTAATGAGTGGGAAAGAAGTCTTAATAATAGTAGTAGTAGTAATATAATAATAATAATACTATCAAATAATGAATATACAAATAATTCATAGAAGAGAATTCTGAGGCAAACCCAGTTTTACATTTCTCAACCGCATGCAAAATCTCCCTCCCTCCCTCCCTCCCTCCCTCCCTCCCTCCCTCTCTTTCTCGCATGCAGGTTGTGTACTTCTCAGCTACGTACCCTTACTTCATGCTATGTATTCTCTTCTTCCGTGGAGTCACCTTGCCAGGAGCCAGAGATGGAATCCTTTTTTATATTACGCCAGATTTCAGCAAGCTCTCTCAGTCTGAGGTTTGTATCCCTACCCAAACGCCCCCTGTGACTGAGCTGTGAACACCAATTGTCCCAGCAGGTCCTGAAACCCGAAGTGGAAATCAGAGCTGAATTATTTGGATCCTTATTTCTGAACTATCATTTCCTAAAAGCCACGCTGTGTGGTTCAAGGATGGTTCTTACACTGTGTAGTGGAAGTCCCTGGCATGGTTTCTGCATGACAACAGATTCACATCACCATCACCACAGAGTTAGTCAAGTTGATCTGTGTGCCACTTTTCCACAGTATGCTGTGCTTAAAAAGACCACACATTTAGCGATAGAGAGAAATCCATCCGTTACAGGGCCTCCTGCACTGGATTTTTAAAATCTCAAGTTCTTTCCTTCTTGAACATGTTGTGAATTTTGAAAATTCTGATACAAAACCAGTCTGAAACCAAAAGCTTCATCCATCCATATTGGCCAGGTTTGATAGGGATAGCCATTCCCAGCATACAGAGACCTGCCTGCCATAGAACTCTTAGAAATGAGAAGCATATAAGAAAGAAGAAGTGGGAACCCTAATTCATATATTAATATGATCAAATAGATGTGGATTCAAACCCAGATGTTAAGCAAGGTGCTAAAAGCCCTGTCCCTGGGTGAATTAATCTTTCAGCCTTGGTTTCTCTGACGGATATATTTTACTCTCAAGGAATAGGATTCAATGTTGGCCTGGCACAAGCAGTAATGATTATTGTGCTAGCATGAAGCAAAGGTTGAATAATAGACCCAAGGCAATGATGCAGGGGAATGGCAGATTGCCGCTGAAACTGGGCAACACAGCAGCAAAATGGGCAGATTTTTCTTCAAAACAGTTCACTTGGGAGTTGGACTTTCCTTTGGCAGGCAATTATCTGAATTGTCTGCATTATCTATCTTGGCAGATCCTGGGGGAAGGCGTAAGCAGTTCTTGCGGTCTATCACATAGCAAGTGGGATGGGGGTGGCGGGGACACCACACAGTTTTTCTGGCTCTCATTGCTATCACCTCACTATCAGGTGCTGCAGAACTTGAATGGGAAGCATTTACTGACTCTGAGGGCTGCCAGTTAAAGGAGGGAAGCTGCAGCTGGCATGCTTGCAAAGCATCCCTCAGCCCTCCCAACCTGGAAGATGAGAGGGTCTCAGAGCGCCAGGCAGGTGTCTCCCAGATGATTGGCCACCTGCCACCAGTCCAGGCAACTGCCCCTGAATGAAGTGCTTCTCCGTGCCCTGCCAAGCAACTTTCCTTCCGCCTGTTTATCAGCTTGATACACGTGCCCAATGTTGGGCTTGAGATCCAGGGGCTCTTCTAATTGGCCTGTGTTGAAGAAAATGATGCCTCCATTGTTCTTACAAATACAGGGTTAAAGAGAAAAGTTGTGTGTATGTAGCTGTAGGGGAACTGGTCCTAGATAAGAGGGAACAGGAAGGAACCAGGCCAAGGATGAGTGTTTGAGCTGCATCTTGAAAGGGTTGTCCTTGGATGACGTATGAATGGAGGGAGAACAAATCAGAGGATGAGGTAAACTATAAAAGCTTTGTTTGGATTGTGTGCTGCACAGTTCCAAAGTGTTCTGCCTTACACATGTAATAAGTCAACTGCCTTGCATGCTGTATTCTTAATAAATATTACTTGTTTGCTTTTCTTTAATCTGTTTTGGAATGTTTATGCAAGATCTAACACCTGCTGCCACCTTTCCGGTGTGCTGTTATACCTGCCGATATGTCCCAGCTATTTTTATTATTATTTTTATTATTATTACTATTATTATTAAATTATATTTATACCCCACCATTTCTCATCCTGCAAGGAATCCAAAGTAGTTTCTCATTTTCTCCATGTTCTCACCTTCTCAATTTCTCACCTTCTCCTTCTCCAACACGCAACAACCATGTGATGTGGGTTAGGCTGAGAGACAGTGACGCCCAAAGTCACCCAGTGGGCTTCATGACCAAGCGAGGACTAGAACCTGGATCCCCTGAGTCTGAGTCCAACTCTTTAACCACTACCCTACACTGACGTTCCACTGTCCCATAGCTGGGAAAACAGGATGGTACTCACAGTGGGCCAAGTTTGAAAGAATGGAGGGTAACATCAGCACTGCCCACCATCTCCTCAGGGCAAACTCAGGGCAACCATCCCAATTTGGTGCCCTTCAGATATTTAGGGTCATGACTCTCATCACCCATGTTCGTTCGCCATGTTTGCTGGAGAAGGTGGGCGTTGCTGCAAATGTCTGGAGGGCACTGGGGTGTGGAAATCTGGCTTAGGGGATGTAATGGCGTATTGGTAGTAGATCAGATAGGAGGATCTGGCACTCACAGAATTGCTAACGTGCATCCTCTAAACTGGGAGTGGCAGTTACTAAGCATGGGGAAGTCTCTGAGCTGGAGACAATGATCAGCTGATGGAATTGTGATCCATCTTCTTCCTTTGCAGGTCTGGATGGATGCAGCCACACAGATCTTCTTTTCCTATGGCCTTGGGCTGGGGTCGCTAATTGCCTTGGGAAGCTACAACAGGTTTCAGAATAACGTCTATAGGTCTGTAGTAGTAGTAGAAATAGTAGTAGTATTGGTACTTTTAGCGAGGCTTTGTCGACATGGTGTCCTCCAGTTACTGGAGGCTGCCCATAGCTATGCTCTTTGAGGATGCTGGGAGTTGTGGAAAGCTGTTTCTAGAATGCATAGCACTTCACATATTTTATGTTATTGCAATTGCAATCATGGTGTTAGTTTCCCCCCGCATTTGATTTTTTTTTTAAATTTCAAGTTCTTTCTTTCTTGAGTATGAAGGATTTTGCCAATTTGGATAAATTCTGATTAAAACATGAATGGCAACAAAATGCTCACCCATTTGCACTTTCCAAACCCAATAGGCATCTGTTCCCAGCATGGAGAATACTTAGAGTAGACCCAGTCAAATGGATGGGACTTCAGTTGAATGAGCAGTGAATGCAGCCCATTATTTTATTCCCGCAGCGCAAATGGATGTGCTGAGGCAGAGCGAGAGTTGCTTCCTCAGCTTACAGTGGAGCTGAGCTCTGAACTGGGGTCTTCGTCATCATGGCTCAGCCGGTTACAGGTGCAGCCACGTCCTGTGCATCTTTACTTGGGAGCATCTTTTTACAGTGTTCAGTGCAGCTACACTTGGCATTGCAGCCCAGCCTTAGAAGGGTACCTGCTTGGTTTTTAAATGGATTGTCCCAAAGGCCAAGTAGGGCTTTTACAACTTCCCTAGTCTTGCAATCTCAGACATAACCTGTTGGAATTCAAACTACCCCAGACATCTGTTAGTTTTCTTTTAGCCTGCCAGGCAATGGAATATCCCACAGTTTCTTATAGAAGTGTTTAGGATTTTTTTTCATTTTCCCCTAAAAATCCAAAATAACTGTTTACTAATATCACAACAGCATGTGCATAAACTAGCACAGGAGATTCAAATCTGGGAGCCATTTAGCCTTCAGCCTTTTCAGACACAGGGCTACCTTTGGCCTAAACAAGTCCTTGGAGAACCACTTCTTACTATTTTACTCTCCATTTGTATGATGTAAATGCTGTTGCAACTGACAGGCCGGGCTGTGACCCAACAGAAGGTCCAAACCAAACAGTTGAAGACTAGAGATTTAGAATACAGATTATGAAAAATAGTTCTATTCTAAAACATGAAAGAAAACAAGAAGTTGCTTTCCTTTTTAAAAAATCATCTATTCCATACAGGGCCGGGGTCATTCATTATTACATTATAATTACATTGCATTTTCATTCCACCTTTCTTCCTCTTGAAAGGGATCCAAGGAGGTGTACAAGGTTCACCTCTTATTTATTTTTTCTTCACAGAAGCAACCCTGTGAGGTAGGTTTGGCTAAGAGCCTGTGCCTGGCCCAAAGTCATCCAATGAGTCTCATAGCTAAATGGAGACTAGAAGCCAGATTCCCAGTCCAGGACTCTCAGCCACTTCACCCCACTAGGGACTGGTGAATTGGTGAAGCACAAATTCACTCAGGTTCTCATTTTGCCAGTGCCAGGTTTGTTCTGTCTCGATTTTGCAATGGATTGCACAAATTCATTAGGGGTACAGCATTTGCTCATCACACGAGAAATTGCCTGCAGTCGGGATTTTAAAATTTCCACAATTCATCTCACATCCAATTTTGACAATATTTTCTCTGAGGTGCTGATCACTCATACCCAAACTCTCTACATTTTTCTCGGCACAATCTTTCTATTATAAAGGGTCTTTCTCAAGGTTGCTGATAATCAGAAGTGGATTTTGATACCCTTTCCTTATTAAAGATAAGGAAACTAGAAAATTTCAGGAGATGGTTGAAGAAGCCTTAAACATTCACAGGGGAAACCTCTTAAACCCTTTCCTGTTCTCAGTCCATTAAATGGAAACCAGAGCCTTGCTTATCAACCTGAAGCTGAATTCAAGAGACCCCATCCAACCACGGAGAAACAATGTGTTTTGTCAACCAAGCTGGTGGATGAACACTTGAAGCTTACCTTTGCTTTCATTTCCCTAACTCACTTCTTTTCCTCTGTGCAAGCTCAGCCATGTTCTTTTGTTCCGTTCTGTCACTGACATACTTTCTTATCTCAAAATTCACAGTGGATCGAGATTAAGATGCATTTGACTGTATTTTTAGCAACCAGCCATCATGCAATTTTAATATTTCAGAACTTTCAAAATGTGCCGTGCCACATATATTTCTATCCATTCAGGAGCTGGTGTGGTAGAGTAGTTAGACGACTGGACTGGCTTTCAAGGAATGTGGCTCTGGTCTCCACTCACCATTAAGTTCATGGGGTGGCCTTGGAGCAGTCATGGATTCTTTTCAGTCCTCAACTACTTCACAAGGTGGTTATGAGGATGAAATGGAGAAGAGGAGGATCATGCAAGCCACTCTGTGTTCCTTACAAGAGGAAAAAAGGGTGGTGATGATGATGAACATCATATCTATATTTCACCTGGCCCCAAAGTCCTGGGGCAGGTAACTTTCAGGATATTTGATTGGTGGATGCCAGCCAGTGTGGACTTCTTATTAGTGGCACCACAAGTCTGAAATACTAAAACTGATCTGTTGCCTCCAGCAATTCTAGGACTTTCCTCTGAGGTGTGGTTGAAGGGCTGTCAGATTGATCATCTACACTTGGAATTTACCATTACACCAATAGCCAATGAATTCACCACTGGCGTGGTATCATTATGTGGGTCAATGCATTTGTTTGTTTTGGGGAACGGCATGAGATGTTTTGGGCCAGCTGCATGGGATGGAGAAAGCAGGGAAGCCCAGTGGAACTGCCTTGCACAGGTGGAAAGGCTCGAGATGAGTCTGGCTCCAAGCCATTCCATTTTTGTGTTTTACTTTGGAAGCTGCCTTGGAGACTGAAAATCAGGATAGGCATGATTGATCAACTGATTGAAAGAAACATTTCTTTTCCAGAGACTCCATCATCGTTTGTGGCATAAATTCCACAACAAGCATTTTTGCGGGATTTGTTATTTTCTCCATCGTTGGCTTCATGGCTCGCATCACCAAGAAATCGATAGCTGAGCTGGCATCCTCAGGTACAGTCTGCTGAGCGGGCAGTTGCGCCTACTTCAGGCATGGATCACCAAAGTCCTACATATGGCCACCGTGGTGCCTCCTCAGCCAGTGGGCTGCTGCTTTCCATTTGAGCTTTATAACAGCTACCCATGGTGCTGCATGCAATCCCTCAAATAGCTTCACCAGCACTCAGCACCACGGATAACTCCTATACAGCTCAGAACAAAAGCTGCAATGGGTAAGGAGCCCCACTGGGATTGGAATCACCTCCCCAGCCATAAAGGTTTATGGTTGAAAGGCAAAAGCAGGCCGTGTGCTCTGAAGGGATGGAGGCACTGTTTAATTTGTATTAATTATATCATTTTTTAAAAAATGTATTACTCTATCGTATTCTACTAGGTGGGCAATGATCTTGGCGGAGCTCCAAAATTCAGTCCATGCAAGGATTTGTTTCCAAAAGTGAAAGATGTGATCAATGAAATAAATGTCAGTTATGTGTATATTGCAAAAGGTTGCACTCATCCAGCACGGAGAGTGACACCATAGGTCTGTTTCTTCTTCCTCTGTAGTCAGCATATCCTTTTTTCCATTTCAATCACCTTGAGTTGTAATCTTATATGTGCTTACGTGGGAGTAAGCCCTATCTGAATCATTTGGGCCAGTCTGCATAGCATTGCACTGTTAATTGGACATTCCTTCCTAGATTATTGAGACACTGTAGGCTGCAATCAAAAGGTTAAGGAGAGGAATTTCTATAAAAGATTGATTCTCATCTTTCCAAATATGAGCCTAAATTTTTGCTTTCTGTAGTGGGCTTATTGAACCTCCCACCAAGTAGGTAGCCATTTATGAACTACCAAAAGAAGAGGATAATAATTGGTACAGAACGTGCATATGATAACTGACGCGGATACATCTAAGTTCAGAAAATAACTATAATTTAAAAGAAATACAATCTATCTCAACTTATTATTGACTATGTAATCTGGGTATGTGCCTTTTCCACCTGCTACCAGGTGCTCACTGTTCTTATGGTAATCTATCTTTAAACTGGACTTGAAATTCACACAGAGGATGTGTCACCCTAAGAGGACATATGTCCCCCCTACAACCTAGGGAATTAAAGTCCAAGTATCCAAGTTGAATCCAAGTATCCAAAACAGGATTCTTTTTATGGAAGATCCCGAGTTTTGGAACACCCTCCCAAGAGTAGTCAGGTTGGCTCTGTCCTCACTGAGTGTTTTGGTCAAAACAAACAATTCTTCAGATGTAGTCTGGCAGCTCTGCCTTTTAAGCTAGAGTAGTCCTGGGTGGTCCAATTTGGATCTTAAATACTCCCTTAGCTCCCGCATTAGGGATCTGATCCACTCTAGATTTAAACAAACAAACACACACAGGTTTGTTAGATTCACATTTAAAGTAATTTCTATTTTGGCCCTTGGTCAGGCAGACCAAAATACACTCTTTTGCCAGGCCTTTAATTACCTTAGAATTATTATTATGAGGGGGTTCCAGCATTAAAAATAGCCTAGTAGTAACTTTAGGGAGTTCCAGAAAAACATCTACTTCTGCTTCATTGACTATGCTAAAGCCTTTGATTGTGTGGATCACAACAAATTGTGGCAAGTTCTTAAAGAGATAGGAGTATCAGACCATCTTATTTGTCTCTTGAGAAACCTGTATGTGGGTCAAGAAGCAACAGTGAAAACTGGACATGGAACCACTGATTGGTTCAAAATTGAGAAAGGAGTTCGGCAAGGCTGTATACTGTCGCCCTGCCTATTTAACTTATATGCAGAGCACATCATGAGAAAGGCGGGGCTAGATGAATCACCAGTTGGAATTAAGATTGCTGGGAGAAATATCAACAACCTCAGATATGCAGATGATACCACTCTCATGGCAGAAAGTGAAGAGGAACTAAAGAGCCTCTTGATGCAGGTGAAGGAGGAGAGTGCAAAAGTTGGCTTGAAACTCAACATTAAGAAAACTAAGATCATGGCATCCGGTCCTCTCACTTCCTGGCAAATGGATGGGAAGAAATGGAGGACAGATTTTGTTTTCCTGGACTCCAAGATCATTGCAGGCAGGGACTGCAGCCAAGAAATTAAAAGACACTTGCTCTTTGGGAGGAAAGCTATGGCAAATCTAGTTAGCATACTAAAAAGCAGAGACATCACCCTGCTGAAAAGTGCGTATACTCAAGGCTATGGTTTTCCCAGGTGCAATGTATGGCTGTGAAAGTTGGACCATAAGGAAGGCTGAGCGCAAAAGGTTTGAGGCCTTTGAATTGTGGTGCTGGAGAAGACTCCTGTGAGTCCCTTGGACTGCAAGGCGATCAAACCAGTCAGTCCTAGAGGTGATCCACCCTGAGTGCTCTTTAGAAGGCCAGATACTGAAGATGAAACTCAAATTCTTTGGCCACCTAATGAGAAGGAAGGACTTTCTGGAGAAGAGCCTAATGCTGGGAACAATAGATGGCAAAAGAAGAAGGAGAAGGCAGGGAATGAGGTGGCTGGAAGGAGTCACTGAAGCAGTCCATGTGAGCTTAAGTGGACTCTGGGGGATGGTGGAGGACAGGAAGGCCTGGAGAATGTTGTCCATGGGGTTGTGATGGGTCGGACACAACTTCACGACTAACAAAAACAACAGTAATAACTTTAGATTTAGGGCTGAATCCTGTGGAGGTGCCTGAGAACCTCCAAAGTCTGAGGACTATGGGCATCCTCTGCTGGCTGGGAGGAGTACACAGGTGAAGGCCACCTCTGCACTTGTATCAGTCTACAATGCATCAGTTGGTCCGGTGTCAGCCTTCTAAGTGTAGAGCATTGGAATAAGAGGGAAGGAGGCCAAGGTGCCTCCAAGATACATAGCATCTTAGTGGAGCCAGAGGTCTCCTCCCTTCCCTACCCCCAAAAACCTTCTCCAAGGCTGCTCTTATGACCTCAGAGAATCAGCTGGCATGGTTCTTTCCACACTATGTGGGAAGGGGGTCTGGGTGTGGATCCCCATGTATGAGTTTAGAGTGATTTCTGATGTCATTGCTGAGAATTTGAGAAATCCTGTGACCATCCTGTTAGTTATTTCTTCTTCTCATTCATTCATGTATTTATTATATTTGCATATTGTCCAACAGTCAAAGAACTCTCAGAAGTTTACAGTGATCAAAAACCTTAAAAATACAATTTTATGCCTAACAGATTCACATTGGAACAGCTACAGTGGCAAATTCAGATCAAACTGAACAATTCAACATATTTCTTGCAGAATCTGCAAGTACAGTTCCACCTTACAGCATGGCACAGTTAACAGTAGGAGGAAAATTTTGCAACAGCAGCAGTGCAAATGCTTCTGGAGTCCAGTCTATTCTGACTTACGTGGAGGCATATGAACTGGATTGGATTCCTGGAGCTTGATTTCCAGGGCTCTGGTCTGCTTTGCTTTGCCGTGATCCTGAGTCTGAGTTCCTGTTGAGCAAGCCCAGCATTTGCTGAGCCAAAAATCCAGCCCCACTGCTGTGCAAGCCACCTCCTTCTTTTGCACCTCATGCAGCAGACTTTTGCACTGCTGCACCTGAGGTGGAAGAGGGACACTCCTGGGCAACCGTTGCCCAGGACTGCAGTCCTGCCAAACCCCACAGGACTTCTGCCCACGCAGGAATGCTTTTTCTCTCACATGCATCAGCACCACTGCACTTGATGTGGAAGAAGGTGCAACTTTCATTCTGCAAGCATTCATGGGCTTCCTTGGCTCGGCTCGCTTTGCAAGACTGCAGCTGGCATGTGAGGAAATGTAAAGGGATGGATTCTGGGCAGGTTCATTCCAACTCTGTCCTGGCTCACCAGGATTGCTTATCAACTCTTCCGAACCCTCCAAAGCTTCATATCAGGAAGCAAGCTGGAAAAGAATACAAAGGATGCAACCGTAACCATTCCATGTGTTCTGTTGGCTGCAGGCCCTGGACTGGCTTTCCTCGCCTACCCTCAGGTGGTCACCGAACTGCCCATGGCGCCTCTCTGGTCAGTTCTCTTTTTCTCAATGTTAATGATGCTTGGACTTGACAGCCAGGTAAGGATTTGTTTTTTTTTTACATGAATTGTGGAAAGCCCATAAGATGCTCTTGCTTGTACGGTGCTTCCGGTTATCTAGCAATGACAATAGCAGAGTAGAGCCATGCTGTTCAGGGTCTTGCCAGTTGACTATGCCTCCTTCCAGGAGACCCCATTCCATCGCCCTCCCTGACTTTTCAATTTCCTCCCCGTAACTGTCAGCTTACTCTTCCTTGGGCAGGGTGTGTGGGTGGTGGGGGAAGGTGGTCTTTGCATTCCTAAATAGATTTGCACTACTCCAAACCACAGGATTTCCCCAAAACCCGCTGATGGTTCCTTCCTGGTGGATGGCACTGTTCTAATTATGCAGAGGCCAGAATTGGATGACTATTAGCACACAAGGATCAAATTTCTCCCCTCTCCCAATAATTCCCTCTGCACTAGTTTTCAGGAGCTTGGCTCGCAACAAGCTTATTTAGGACCACCAGCACATCTCATCTGGGCCCAACGGGAGATTCTGTTCCCAAGGGCCCTCTACCCCTCTTATGAATGAATGTTTGATCACAATGGAATTATTTGCACAGCTATTGCCTGTGGACAACAGCCACTTATGCCTCTGCAGTCTGTCAAGTGCAGCAGCCAACCACATGGATAGGAATTGAGAGAGACAGAAGGCCAACAGACCCACACCAAGTGTTTCTGCACTTGGGGAAAGTCTCTTCTGCTTTCCAGCTCATAAATGGAGAAGTACTGATGCTGCTCACTCCTGAAGCATTAGCATACATCACATAATCACCTTTAAGAGATCTATAGGTTGCCAGGTGCCCTTTCAGAACAAAGAATGCCTGGGAGATCTGGGCATCTCCATCTCTCCTGAAAAGATAGCACAACAGTAGGGATTCCTACTTGGCACCTGCAGTACCAGTTTGTCCACAGACTCCTCTCTTGGTGACGGCTAAGCTCCCTGCCCCTGTGGATTTGGGATTTTATTATCAATTTTTAAATTATTTTGAAGAACTGGGACTATGGCATGTTGTGAAGTGAAGTGTTACCAGCCAGTACCATCTTTATTTGGGTTCAAAAGAGTGATGTCTGTGTTTTGGAGCTCTGGCAAGTACTTGGGTTAACTGGAAGACTACTTTTAGTTTCACTGCTTTTCCTTCTGGGGAATGAGTGCTTTGTGACCTACCAGGGCAGGCGTTTCATGATGGGGCAAGACACCATGGGAGCCATTTTGTGAGTCTTTCAAGATTCCAAATGGGCCCATCAACCCCCAAAGTTGTGGACCCCTCCCACAGAGCCAGGTGAGGGTGGGGCAGGTCACTGCTTTTTTCTAATGTGAAAAAGTACTGTGCTAAAAGGCCATAATTCACTGTTGCAAATCAAATTAACTCCTCTGATGGGACTGCAGAGTCTAGAGATTTCCTGTCTCAGTATCCTCTGCTTCTTGGCTATTGTCTGAAGCAGGGAAAAAAGCAAAGAGTTATCCTTGATCACACAAAGAAAGAAAGGTTGGGAAATGGTGGGAAACCCAGGGGGACTCTGAAAGAGAGGGCTGAGGCTTGGGATCAAGTCTGGTGGCACACAAGTGGAGAGTTTGGAACCTAAAAGTCTTTAGCTTAAAGAGATGTGAGCCCCCCCCCACCCGCCACCCACATCTGCTCCGGACCTGATCCACCCTGCCCTGCCACAATTTTCCGACCAAAGAGTGATCCATACAATAGAGAACTACTGGGATTATGAAACTTCGATCCGTGTTGGAATGACAGCACATGCAAAAAGGTTTAAAATTTCCTGCACCCACACTAGGTGCTCATTCTTAACTGGGCTGCCTGCACTTCCCTTAGACTAAAATAGAAAAACATGAGCTTCTAGCTAATCTTTAAAATAAATTCTGCTTGGTCTGATATGGTGGAAATAAGGTTTATTAAACCAAAGGTAGTTCTTAGAGGTTATGCAGATTAGTGGTTTTCCTCGTTAAACCTGCTAATTTGCAGGCCCAGGGAGGGCTATTTTCATTGAAGGGGCAAGTAATTCACATGCCTCGATCTACAGGGCAAATTCTACTTTGCGGAATTTCTTGGGGACTGGCTTGCTCGAGTGACGTTGGGCCAGAAGCTGAAAGGGGAGAATCAAAATACCAGCATGATGTGTCTGAAAGCACATGGGTGCAGTGCCTAGGAGCTGTGTCTCGACCTTTCCACAAAGGGGGAAAAAACCTGTGCAAAACTGAGAGAAGAGCACATGATCCGTGGTCAGGGAAAGGGGGCGGGGCCCAGGCAAGGGGGCGGGGCCATCCCATGGATCCAGGCAGGTGGTGACTGTCACCTTCGGCAGGCTGGTTGTGACCCCCAGGCCCGAGGCCTTTCAATCCACCCCTTCCCCTTAGAATGGCACAACCCAGGGAAAAGACAAATGTGATTTTTGCAGTGTATGGAGAGCAACTCTGCTGAATCAATGACAAATTGATTCGGTCTCAAATTCAGTTTGCCTCAGAGCCTTTTCAGATGAAAAGGCACCCCTTCATTTTACTACAAAATCCATTTGTTGCATTGTGTCAGCTATTTATAAATTAATACTCTTCGGAGATGCAGCCGTGGCTGAATTTGACCTGGTTCATAATTTAGAGACTTTCTAAAAATGATGCAAATACGAACTGAAGAACTAGTTTCATTCATTTGTTCTTTTTTATGCCACTAAATGCCCTTTTTAAAGCATTTAATTTTACATGATTTGCTTGAGAGCGCCTTCCTCCCCCCCACCCCCACCCCCAGGTGGCTACCAGATACTTTTAAAGTGACAGCTCTCTCCACTCTCTTAGATGCTTCCCAAAGTAATTACTTTCAGGCTTGCTTCTTAATTGGCTGGCACACTGAAGTGCCCCACAGGGTGCAGTGCTCAGGAAAGTGCTGAAGAGTAGCATCTGAGCACTGTCTGCTGTCATTCTTGTAGCCGCTGTTAATGTTATACATGTCAAGAGGACCCACCACTCAAGCCTTTTGGATTAAGAATTGAGAACCAGCCAAACCATTGGGGAAAGCCAAGAATCCATATTTGCTCAACCAATGCAAGGCATTAAAAATAAGCAAAATTAAAGTCCTATTCTCTGCTATCCTATTCAATGTTGCATGTCAATTGTTGGTACAGCACGGACAGTGGAGCAAAGCCATGATTGACTGCCTGCTTGTTTTTGCTGAAAATGGGAGGAGCTAAACAGCCCAGGGATGCTGGATTATTTGTCGTGATGATGGCCAAACACGGAGCTCCGGTTGCTGAGTGGAGACAGACCAATGCAGAGCTTAATGGGGAGAGACCCACAATTGGAGCACCTCTTCCCCACTATCCCCTTAGCCACTGGGCAGCTAGGGTCTAGTTTCACCCCTAGAATTCCCTGTGGGTTGAAACCTCTGCCCCATGGCAGTCCAACATACAACAAAACACAAAACAAAATGGTGCTTGTCGCTGCTGTGGAGTCACAAAAGGTCAAAGGAGCTTGCAAACAAAAAAGCAGCTCAGGATACAGTTGACTAAAAATGGGGGCTTCCGCTTGCAGTGGCAGGGACCACTCTGGGACCTGTGTATGGCTCAGTGGCCACATGTTGCCCACCCCTGGTCCAGAGGCTATGGAATTGCTCTGTAAGACTGGCACACATCCATCAGCTGGCTTAATTAGGGACTGGGTGGTCACATTAGGGAGTGAGGCCAAGGCAAAGACCACATGAAAACAGCTGCTTTAGCAGAGGGAGGAGAGAAGCAGCAGCTTTTGTGCATTCTGGGAGGGAGCTCAATAGGTGAAGCACACCAAGAAGAGGGGGTGCCATTCAATCGCCTGGTATTCTGGGGCTCTCCTTGTGGCTGTGGATTGGAGACTGCTGCCTGAGCACACGCACTTCTAAATTCACCACTGCTGGTATCTAAGACAGGAGCTACATCTCGATAACTATCTTCAGCTGCGTCACCCTGAGCAATGTTCGAAAGGAAACAGGGAATGTGCTTTTTCATGCATCCTTCCGTAAGTATAGCATCTGATGCATTTCTTCTGTACCAGTGGAAGAAAAACACATCAGCCAATGTGTGTGGCATGAAGCCCACTTCTTTTTGGAAGCGTTGTTTTCAGAGTCCAACTCATGGCTTGGTGTTACATGTGAACCAAACCAAGGTGTGGATGCAAAGATTGAAGCAAAGAGCTGCCGGGGGGCAGGGGGTGGGGGAGGTGCTATTTTGGGGAAATGTGGGTTCAATTCTGAAGCTGCATGTTATTAATTTCTCTGCAGTTCTGCACTGTGGAAGGCTTCATCACAGCACTGATGGACGAGTATCCGCACATACTGAGAGCAAGGAAGAAAACCTTCATTGCTGTGGTGTGTTTTATCTCTTACCTCATAGGATTCTCCAACATCACCCAGGTAAACCCAATTAGCAAACTCTTTTCCCACTACCTGGTAAGAGCAGCAATGGATTTCCTTTTCTGGTCCTTGCATCAGGACTTGCCCAGGGCCAGTATTCTGAGTTTCAATGTGAAGATGGTATAGTGCAAGGATGGCCAACACAAGATCCTCCAGTCAGTTTGGCCCACAACTCCCAGTGTGGCCAATGGTGAGGAATGGCAGCAGTTGTGATCCTCCAAGTACTTTGGCCACAACCTTTGATTTGGCACCACCAGGAAAAAAGTTATCACAAATAAATGATGATGGACAAACGGGATGGGAGAAACAAAGGTAGCAAGGAAAGTACTTTGGCAAATGCCATTATACTGTACATATTTACAACATGGTCACTTGGAAAGGAGGATTACTGGGTTGGGCAAAGGGAATGCACAAAGAGTAGATCCTTCTCTGTTGATTGCAGTGTATGTGACAGGTGTGCAGAAAACACCTGTGTGGTCAACATAACCCAGTGAGGGTACAGGCCTTTGCCTGGTAGATGCTGTCTGGTCAGCCACAGGAATAGACCGAATCCCCACAGTGGCTTTGGAAAAGCCTTCTCAGGCTGAAGCAGGGACCCCACACTAGCTGAGGCCCCAGAGATGGAAGACTGTCTTTGCAAGTGGTGCCAGGGGTGTTCTGGTGTGAGACACCGCTGGCTTCTGCCAAATCCAGGCAGTTCATCAGCCCTTTCCTCCTCTTCATGAGGAGGGGGAGACCACTGAGGAGGCCAAAATGGATCACCAGGGCAAGGGGATCACAGAGGCGATCCTCACCTTTGCAGTTCCTCTGCACTTGATGGGATGCCCACAACTTCTGAATTTGGGAGGTTACGGATAGCCGCATGGAAGCCCTGAAGTTCTCAACATCTTTTTGGTCAGCACTGTGGCCTACCTGTCATCTTTATATCAGATGTTGTGACATCATGCAGTGCATTCCTGCTCGGGAGTAAGTTCTAGTGAATTCAGTAAGGTTACTCCCAGATTACATGCATGTGTATGAGATTGCAGCCCAAGTCTGGCACAGAGTGCTGGGCTGGGACCTGAGAGATTGTGGTTCTTGTATCCACTTGACTACGAAGCTCACTGGAATTGCAACTGGAGGAGAAATAACCCAGAGAGGGCAGGGCTGCACGATGGCAGGGGGAAACACACATCTGTTTAGACTACCTTACGTCTTCTTTGGGACTGCAGGTGGCGCAGTGGTTTAAACCGCTGTGCTTTTGGGCTGGTTGATCAAAAGGTCACCGGTTTGAATCTGCACAACGGGGTGAGTTCCCGTTGCTCCGTCCCAGCTCCTGCCAACCTTGCAGTTCAAAAGCATGCAAATGCAAGTAGATGAAAAGGTACCACTTTGGTGGGCAGGTAACAGCGTTCCGTGCACTTCGGTGTTTAGTCATGCCGGCCACATGGCCATGGAGACTGTCTGTGGACAAGCGCTGGCTCCCTCGGCTAGGAAACAGAGATGAGCACCGCCCCCTAGAGTCAGGCATGACTGGACTCCATGTCAAGGGGAAACCTTTACCTTTACCTTTTACTTCTTCTTTAACAAAGAAGCAAAGTTGGCAGGCATGGAATACAACAGGGTCACATGCTAAGTGAGATTCTCATGGTTCTCTGTGAATATGATGAATAGCACATTCGGGGTTGGAGGAAAAAGCTTAAATCCTATAGAGTCCAAGGCACCTGGAAGTATAACCAGCTGAATTCAGTTCCTGTTGAGTTGACATGCATAGCATTGCCCTGTAACTCAGGTGGGCTGTTAATCTGGAATGCAGAATAAGTGCGGAAATCCCACAGGTCTCTGGAAGTTAAGGAACCAGGGCACAGACTTCAAACAAAATTGTGATTTGATCTTGGGGCATGATCTTTAATACAGCAACTCATTTGATGTGAAATAACCTACGGTCATCAGTTCCCACAAGAGCAAAGTGATATTAAATTGACCTGCACCATAAACACTGAGAATAAGCAAAAGCCAGGTCTGGAGAAGATGTCTAATTTCAGCAGGTGTCCGATTTCTGTCACTGACTTCCACCTTCCTTCAGCACTTTTCATGACTTATCCGGCAGATACAGAACATTTAAACTGGGGCGTGTATTCAGACATGTGACAGTGTAGACATGAGGAAGGCAGTCTGGTGCCCTCCAGATGGTTTGGATTGCAACTCCCATAATCCCTGACCATTGGCTGTGCTGGCTGGAGAGGATGGCATTTGAAGCTTCTGTACATGTATTTTTGTACCTGTGTTTTCTTTGTAGAACTCTGCTTCTAAATTCAGAGATGTGAATTTCAGAGGATAACTGAATTTTGGTTCACCAACGTTAGGTAAATTGCTAAACCAATTCCATCCCTTTCTCTGGAATTTTGGCCAAGTGATCCTAAATGGGTGGCCCCAGTTCTGCTTGTCCCCTCCTCCTCAGGCTTGCTATTTACTTTGAACCTTCGTACATACAGCACCGGAAATGTGATTGCACATGTTGTGTATCTCTCACTTTGACCCTCAGACAGCCATCACCTTTTAGAGCAATAGAAATACTCACAGTCAAACCTTCTGCAGAACTTATTTGAATGGGATTTTTATATTGTCGTTTGCCTTGGCTGCTTTGTATTAAGGCCTCTCGCTGTGTCCCCTCAGGGTGGCATCTACGTCTTCAAGCTGTTTGATTATTACTCAGCCAGCGGCATGTGCCTCCTCTTCCTGGTCTTCTTCGAGACGATCTCCATCTCCTGGTGCTACGGTACGTGCGAGGGGCCTTTGCCTTGCGGTTCCCTCTTTCCAGAAACTTTCAGTGCCTGGACTGAGTTATGGGGGCTTTGCAACAATAGCTCATAGCAGCTGGGAGACTTATTTCAGAGGGGCCACGGCAGGAAAGAGAAAGGGGAAGTCTTTCCTCGCCACATCCCATAATTGGGATGGACAAAACTGTCGGCTTCGCTTTCTTCTGTGCTGGTCTAGAAACCACAACAACTTTCCAGTTTTTAAGTGCATTCAATGTGTTCTCACACTTACAGCCTGCCTTCTTTCCTCTTGCAAAGAACCCAAGGTTGCCGTCATGAGCCTCCTCCGTTGTGTTTATCCTCACAGCAGCCGTGGTGGGTAGGCTAGGCTGAGAGTCAGTGACCTGCCGAGAAGCACCCGCCGAGGTCCGTGGCCAAGTGGGGACCAGAACCAAACTCTCAGTCCAGCCCTCCACCTACTACCATATGTTGACTTTCTGTTTACAAAAACATGTGCGAATGTTGGTAAATTCTTACCTGAAGTGAAGTAAACAGAATGTTCTTGCATTTGAACCAGCCAGATTTAATTGATACAGCTTTTCCAAGCATAAGGAGGACCATGTTGTACCTACCTGTGATGTAGCTGTTAAAGAAGATTAACTCATAAGAAACCTCATCTTTAAAAATTGTCCATCCAATTTCTTAAGAAATGTGTAGATTGGTTACGTTTTTCTCAAAAAACAAAAGAAAGCAGATTAAATACTCACCCAACTGTAGCTGTGATCCCCACTCCTAAAATTGCTCCCCGAATCTATACTTAATTTAATATAAAGAAGAGACATAGCAACATACCATGCAGTAAGTATAATATATGCAGCTGGACCCTATTGGCGGGCTGCTTTCTGTTTTCACAGACAACCTTTCACTCCAGGATTTCAAAGCCAATTAAATAAAACAAGTCAAGAACAATTTTGCCAATAGAAGCCTCCTTTGGAACTAGAGATGGTTTTGGCAGGACCAGCTGCCATCCAAATAAGACCTTCCCTAGCCATTCAAACAAGCATTGGACAGCTAGTCTTTGGCGTTAATGCTGCTTGAGCTCCTCTTCTTGCTTCACACCTCAAGATTGTGACAACTCTTCCTGAAGTGTGCTGAGCCCATGGAAGAAAGGGCTCGTGGTCTCCATCCCATTAAGAGCTATTTCTCCTTACAGGTGTGAATAGATTTTACAGTAACATTGAAGAGATGATTGGCTATAAGCCTTGTGGGTGGTGGAAGATCTGCTGGGCCTTCTTCACGCCACTTGTTTGCTTGGTAAGACTTGAAGGATAAACCAGCTGATCAAGGAAACGTCTCCTGAGGACAGAAACAAAAAGCCCCTCTTGTCCATTGTCTGACTGTGAGAGAGACAAGCGGCACAGCAAGTCATTTTATATCTTCTTTTATATCAGCTCTTTATTGTAGGTGCACACTAGCGATATAGAGTGAGCCCGTCTCCAGTCGGGACCAGCTGCCACACTCACCATGTACAGCAAATTTATATTTTGTAATGAGTGGTAACAGAGAACTTCAGAGCAGCAAACATTCAGTTACCTTTGTAAATGGTTATCTTGACGTATACGTCTTTCCTCGGGGTCAAAACATCTACCTCCAGGCTTATCTTATCATTACTTTCTTGACAGAAGTGTATTTTATATTTTCAACCCTCCTGTGTCTCTTTGACAGAACCCTAAGTAATTGACCCTTGCTGTTTGGTCATCAGGAAACAATACATTTTTCAGGTCCATCACTTTCAGTGGTCGCTCCAAGGCTGCCGTCTGTCTTCCTGAAGGGCCAAACCAAATGTGACATTAATTGTGTCTTTAGCTAGCATGCATCTTCCTTAAAAAAGAAAGGCAGTTCTGCTTCTGGTAGGTGAGGAATGGGCATGCTGGCTGGGATGGTGGGAGTTGCAATCTAAACACACCAAGCTGATGAAAGCTGATGTAATTGACTATGTCATTTATGGAGATTCTAAAACAAGGGCGTTGAACCTCCTTTAGCCAAGCGCTGAAGTTCTCAGGGGCCAAAGGGAAAAGTGGTGGGGCCAAAATGCCAGTGTATTTTAGCATAAAGCACTTCCTGCCAATGACGAAGCCTTAAGAGAATAATTTCAACCCTTTAGAAGGGCTGCCCTGCTTTGGCCGAGGCAGATTCTGAGTGAAGGGTCTGTTCAGAAGGAAAGGCAACAAAACAGACCATGTTCATGGTCTAGCCCAGGGGCGGTCAGGCTGAGGCAGAGCGGCCAAGGGAGGAGGCTGAGGTCCAAGCACAGTGCAGGCCATCAGATGCACTGCGCAGTCCAAAGCAGCAGTGCCCGGGCGGGAGCATCAATCGCGGGGTCCCTTGCAGGAGATAAAACAGAAGACGCTGGAGCTGAACGAGCAGCACTGTTTCCAGCACAGCTGTTGCCCCCAGAGCCTTCTGAGACACCCCCAGGGCTCGGCTGCAGTGCAGACCCCACCTGTGAGCAGCCCTTTTCCTTTCAAGCCAACGCTCCTTCTCGCAGGAACCCACTGGCCCGCCATCTGGGGCAAAGATGCTCCTGGGGGCCAAAGGCTGTTCAGCTGCTCCCTCTGAGCCCCCTCTCCCTGCAGAAGTGGGCCTGCTGCCCTCTCTCCTGAGGACTTAGGCTTCTCCTCGTCTGGCCTGATCTGGATCTGGAGCGCTCTTGGTTTCTGGGAGCTCTAGATCTTCTTTGAGGAGGGACACAATGCAGGGGAAAGAGTACTGCGTGATCAGGGGCAAGGCCAGAGGAGGGAGGCAGGGCTCCCTGGCAAATCATAGGGATTCTGCACCCCTTTCCTAGATGGAAAGTCAATGCCTGTCAGCCCCCTGATTCTCTCTATGCTGGCACTTAGCATCTGCTCCTTCTCTTTTCCCAGGGGGTTTTCTTCTTCAGTGTGATTGAAATGGCTCCCCTGAGGCTGGGGAAGTACGTTTATCCTGCCTGGGGTCAAGGCATTGGCTGGTTCATGGCCCTGTCTTCCATGATCTTGATCCCGGGATACATGTTGTACTTTTTCTGCACTGCGAAAGGAACGATCCGAGAGGTAAGAAGAATTTCACAGGCACCTTCTTTGGTTAAAATGAAAACTTCACTGGGGCAAAATAGCAGTCAGGGCACCCTGACAGGGCCTGAAATTCGATCTGGACATTACCTAAGAGCAGAAACCAGCCTCACCAAACTCACTTTAAGCATCTGCTGCTGGGCAGGAAGGAAAGAATATTCATATCATATATATCAGCATATAAGACGACCCCGAAACTAAAAATGGCAAAGCAAAAATTGGGGGTCATCTTATATGTCTGATGATTTTATTTTATTTATCTTATTTTATTTATTTTAATACATTTCTTTACCGCTACATTAGCTCATAGGGCTCTTTGGGCAGTTTACAATACAATATTGTATTAACAAACACCAGAAAAACAGCCCAAAATAATGACCTCGTCATATTCATGAGTTGCCTTATATGCTGATATATTCTGAATTTTGCTTGTTTTTGAACACTGCATATTGCCTTTCTGTTAATGGCATGCCTTTCAAAGTGGCTTAACTATAATAAGCCTTCATTACAAAAAGTACTCAACCAATCAGCATCAAAGAAAAGTGAGAAACAGAATAAAAAGATGCCAGTGATCTATTGCTATTATGTATTTAAAGTAATGATTAAGGAATTCATTAGCTAGGGAACCAAACTTAGCAGTTAATCCAAGCTCATCTGTAATGTAAAGAATTCTGGCTTTAATTTAAGAAGACAAGTGATAAAGCTTGCAGGTAAAATCCTGTACACACACGAGACAAATCAATAACAGAGGCTAAAAGAGACAATTACGCAAGTTTTTCTTATACATTATTTTTCTTTGTGGAAGTATACAGTGTAACTGAAAATGATATGCGATTTCATCAGATGTGGTTATATAAGGAATGTTTTGAACATCAATGCCCAAGTATTTTCTATTCATAGAAGATGTAGGGCACAGGGATGGGAGGGATTTTGTTCAAGTTCACAATCTGATAAGAACTAGCCAAGTTTGTAGCTCCCAAAATATGCAAACAAGAACACATTTATCTTTTGGCATTTCCACTTCTCAGAAGGTTGCAATTCAGTGCTCTGAATGAACCATGCATGCAAAAAAAAAAATGTGCAAAATGTTAGATAAGAGGAAACAGTCACCTAAGGGAGGAGAAAGGCACCCATCCTGACACAGTGCCTACAAAAATGCATGTATTAAGAGAAATTTATGTGAAAACACATGCAAATCTTTGTGGGGACATTTGGCAGTCATTGCAGACTGATGCCAAAATAGGACAGGCTGGGAAAAGAAAGGGAGAGAAACAGAAATCAACTGACTCAGTTGCAAAGGGAACAGGCAGGCAAACAGGGGTCCTTGTGTCATCTGAAGAGGCCTTACAATGCTTACGCAGAATAAGCAGGTATGAATTTGCATGGCAAGCACCCCAGGTTAAGTTCCTAAAATGACCACAGGTAGCAGGGCTGGGAAAAAGTTCCATCTGCCTCCTTTGAAAGGCATAGCTGGTTCAGGACACAAAAGGTTTAGCTAGGAATAAGACCGCTTCTTCTGTTTAGCTGTGCCTGCGGAGCTGCCAAGCAGTTTCCCTCCAAATCCCCCTTTTGTCCTCATATCTGCAAAGACCAGGTTGGCAGAAGGTAGATGAGGGTCTACCAGTAGGTCCAGATGCAGAGAAGTAGGGAGAAATCAGGGGTAGATTTTTTTGAGAAATGCCTGGAAAATGGGATGCTGATCGTGAATCCTTAAACTGAACATGTGCTCAGAAGCAGTTCGCTCCTGCATTTGCAGTGCAGCCTTCCCTGCCTTGGTACTTCATGGAAGCTTGTGACCCTCCACCTGTTTTCACCCATAACTCCCGTTGCCCCACAACACTGGCCATGCTGGCTATGACTGGGGGAAAAGGAAAGCAAAGGCATCCGCAGGCCAGGTGGGCCCAGCCCTGCAGTAGGCGAGATGCTTTGCGCTGCAATCCATCAACTCAAGCCTGCAGGAGGTGAAGGCCTCTGGAGGGCATCGTGTTAGGGAAGGCTGCCTTCGCTCCTGTCCTTCCCCCTAAGCTGCTCTTCTGCATCTGGCACCAGCTGGTTGGGATGAACATCTCCATCCTGCCAAAAAGAAGGAAATTCTCCAAAACGGAGGACAAAAGGGATGCAGGTGGTGCAATGGTTTAAGCTGCTGTGCTGCTGGGCTGGGTGATCAAAAGGTCACCAGTTTGAATCTGCACAACGAGGTGAGTTCCCGTTGCTCTGTCCCAGCTCCTGCCAACCTTGCAGTTCGAAAGCATGCAAAAGCAAGTAGAGAAAAAGGTACCACTTCGGTGGGCAGGTAACAGCGCTCTGTGCACTTCGGTGTTTGGTCATGCCGGCCACGTGACCACGGAGACTGTCTGCGGACAAACGCTGGCTCCCTCTGCTAGGAAACCGAGACGAGCACTGCCCCCTAGAGTCAGGCATGACTGGACGTAATGTCAAGGGGAAACCTTTACCTTTATTTGCATAACACTTTCATATTCAAATAGATATTTATAGGTGCACATTTAGTCTTTTAAAAAGAGTACTAATTGGAAATGCAAGCCTTCTTGCCACAGTGGAGAAGATTGAACAGGTGAATCATGTGTCTGCTCAAGCAGCTGTCCAGGGGCTGATGCCAGCCCGCTGTCTGCTGTTTTCCCTTCTGATGGCTTTATATGGACTTGAACTGCATAAGCCTTTCACAAGAAACCTAACCCTGTAGAGCAGGAGACTTAGTCACCTTACCATTCATGAATCTCTTGTAAAGGTCTCTGGTATTTCTCGTGGTTCTAGCAAAAAACAGAGTAGATCCTGGAAGCCTGTAGTCTGTGCACCACTGCCATAGGCTGGATATCGAATTCACACTTAGAAACGGAACAGTGCCAAGCTTATTCCAGGCCTGGGTGACCTTTGAGGACGTGAAGAGATCGCCACTGATCTAAGAAGAATTCAGAGATTTTGCTGGTGTTTTAGCATTTCTTGCTGTCTTCAGCAGGATGTGGTACTACTCCTCACTCCAGAAGGGATGATGAGATGGGGTTTTTGTCTCTCACCCTGAACTCTCCAGTAATTATTGCTAAAATCTAATTTCCAGTGTTCATAGGCACTAGCCTGAGATTTGATTTTGGACACCTTCATCTTCCTGACACATCATTTGCATCCTGCCGGGAGAATAAATTAATACGGTTCTCCTAAACTATGATTTACCTGCCACAAGCAGCGGAGAGTGACAAATTCAAAACAGTGCTGTGCTGAGATCCATTCCTGTGCTGAGAAGCCCCATCTTGAATTCAGATGTGGGGCTGGTGCCAGGATCCCACCTGTGCTTATTAGTCCATGGCAAAGGCTGTCTGAGGCATTGGTCTGGCTTCAGCTAATGTGTTTTTTTTTTTTTTTAGTTACAGTTTGGCAAAATGCAGCTTGCACTGCCACAACATCTTTTGGTTCAGGGTCTTAGCCAGATGCCCTTCTTCTCCCCTACCAAGCAGGGGGCTCCATTCAATCCCCACAACACATGCACCACTGATGCTACCAGCATGCCCATTCATCAGCCCACATTCCACGGCTTTTGAGCATGCTCAAATTTCATTTCCCCCCCCCTTCTATTTTGTGCAGAGTGTGCAGAAGGGGCTATTTTGTCCCCCTTCTGCACACTCACGCCTTGTCGTTGTGAGCTTCTGCAAATGCTGAGCATGCCTTTTGTCATCCCCATTTTGGCCACAATCCCGTTGGCACTCCACCCAGAGTTTGCACTGAGAAAGTCTGATGCTGAACATGTGGCTCTGACTCTCCCCCACTGATTTCCTCCACGTTGGGGTAGTCTGGCTTTCCTGGCTTGCAGTGGCCCCCTGCATTCTCAGGCAGCCTCTTGCCCACCACCTCGTCCTTGAAGTTGAGTTTTAAAGTTGGAGACTGAACCAGGCCCTCCTCCATGCAGGGCAGACCCACCACCTCTGAGTTCAGGCCCTCTCCAAAGATGCAATGGGAACGCTCACTGGGGAGACTGGTGAAGGAACAGCAGATGAGTGCCAGGAAGCAGACAGGATGTTTCTGGATGCTGACTGGCTGGGGGTGTGGCAAGGGTGGAAGATAAGGGGTGGAAGTGCAGAAAACTGGGATCCAGAGTGTTCCACAGTAGGATTTCATTAAGGAAACATGCAGGCATAGGAAACAGGCAGCGGGGGTTCATAGGAGCTAGCGACAGTGCTGCTTTTCTTAGGAGGCTTGTAGGGGCTAGCTGCAGTGCTGAACTTCCTCCTCAAAGTAGGGTCACCTCCATGAATAACTCCTATACATCTCAAAATTAAAGCTGCAATGGCTCCAGAGCTCCAATAACATCGGAGTAACCAGCCACCCCTTAAAACAGGTATTCTATGCAAGAGTTTAACCATTCATGTTTTCGTATTTATTATGTGTTTATCATTCTTCACTCACAATTGTTTTTGGTTGGATTGTTTTATTACATTTATAGACCACCCTTTTTCCTTCTGCAAGGAAACCAAGGCTTACACAATCCTCTTCCTTTGCATTTTATTTTTACAACAGCCCTGTGAGGTAGGTGAGTCAGGGATTGACCTGATAGCTTCACATCTGAGTAGGGACTAGAACCTGGATCTGCTAAGCTTCAGTACAGCATTCTAACCACTAAACCACAACCATTTGTGGGGGGCAGGGGGTTGGACAATATTGTGACCCTCTAGCTCAATTTCTGTTTTAAGCAGAAGTGAAAACTGCTTTGGTAAGTGCTTTTCCATCTAATTTAGGTTCTGTTACAGAACTGAGAGCCAAGCATTAGATAAGACGCATTTCCTTTTCTATCTTCTGCTACATAATCCCTAGGTGGCATCATGGTACAGCAGAATATTGCCAATATGCAAGCAGAATAAGCATTGGCTTTTGCCTGCATGACGAATTCTGCATTTTCCCTGCTTTAAAAAAAACAAGTCTTGATGAAACTGTGGGTAGATAGAGCCACATATAGAAAATTCACAGCCTACAGAGGA